ATTTTAGGGTTAAACTGGACTGTCCTTTTGGAAATATAAATAAAAGAATAAGAGTCCACTGAAACACCTAAATTGCATTTTGACAGGTATTTTTACTCCCTTACCAGAAAATGAATTAGAGACTAATCCAAATATCAACCAGCTAAATAATACTCTTTCCTTCTCATCAGAAAAGTTTGATGAAGCTGCAGTGAGAGAGATGGTTGAAATGTTTAGTGAGATTAGGCTCACTCGTGTAACATTGTCACCTGACAAACGTTAAACAGCTTTTGTGAAATGCAATTGCTAAATGGTAACAGAATAAAATTCCCAAGTTACACATTTTAGTTTCAGCCACAAGAGAAAATATGAAGTGACAGATTTACCTGTACTTTGGTATTTAGCTGTGGTAGGTAAAAGCCGAGGAAAAAAAATGCTTTGGTCTCAACACGGGAAAATACCTTGAAGAAAGAGATTGGCATCTGATTCCAGATCATATTTCATAGCTAGATCTTTCCTTTGGTCCTTTTCAGTCATAAATGTAGGGACAGAAACACTCAAACTTCATGGCTGTATTTGAATTTTGAAGCTTGGCACTGTTTCTGACAGTTGCCAGTACCAGATGTTTCTGAAGGCTGTCCTTATTTTTAACTCTGTTGATAGGAGCCATCTGCTTCTCAAATATCTCAGCTAAAGAATGACTGTAATGTATATTTAATAATTAACCGGTAATGAGCTGAGCTGAGCAACTTTATAATTGAGCAAGCATTTGTAAATCCATTCTTTTCTTTCACTTACCTAACAGGATTTTAAACTTTTGGGATTTGCAAACCACAGTGCTTTCCAGTGCTTTCCAGTGGGTGAGGACCTTTGTATACTGATATGAAGCTAACTTACTTTTCTTTGATACTTTTCACCAATTCCTGAGACAAAAGCTATGAACTGAAAAATCAGTTGAATATACCTTAAAAATACTGCCAAAAGTATATTCTGAACCAAAAGTATATTCAGTACAGATAAAATGGCAGTTAAACCTTGTGAAAGACAAAAGTGGATCAGAGTAAAATAGAATCAAGTTATACTTTGGTAAACTTGCGTTCTAAGTTTCCCCTGTGCTCATCCATACTGTGTAGAGCTTGACTCAATTTATCAATGATAAAATAAGCCACTTCTATTAACAAATGTTCCTGTTCAAAGAAAATAATGGAAGTTTGTGGAATTTCTCATACAAATCTTAAGCAAGCACCCTGATCACGATTTTCCCTCTGTTGATTACAAAGACTTTTTTGCCTTTGATGATAGTTCTTAGAGATTTTGGCCAGTACCTCTCACTGTTAAGAACCACTGATGATCTATGATTTATAGTTGAATGTCAGCACCAACTTTGAAAACATGAATGTTCTTTTCTTCAGAATTGCTCTGAAAATCCCTTGAGAAGAAGAGAACTGTCTGGCCCTTCCATTTCCAGTCTGAGCAGGAAGTTCAGGGGAGCAAGAAAGCTAGAATAATACCAGAATATTTGTACAAAGTTAAAGCTGAATCTGGAGTGAAATCAAGTGTATGCTTTCTTCTTTTTCTTTTTTAATTAAGCGTGTAATGCTTATCAGCAGATGACTTTATCTGGTGCTTTGGTCACATCTTAAGGTTGCCACAAAGCCCTCCTCTGTGATGAGAACATGCCTCCTAATATTTTCTGCCTTTATGGTCTGCACACCATGGAAACGTCATGTGGATTTATTGTACCCTGAGAAGACCACCTGAGAAGCTGGGCTTGGGAGACACAGCCAATCTCTGAACTCCCCGGTGTGCTACATTGGACACCTAAGCCACAGCACATACATTGACCCATGTCATCTTCTCCTTCCCTGGGCCCATCCTAGTCTCACATCCCCAGTCCCTGCTGCTTTTGAGTTGCGGTGGAGAGTACAGCTTTTGCGAGCTATGAAGTGCAGAGGCAAGAACAGCACTTTGTACACAGCAATTATTTTTAAGCACCATACTGCCCCATATTTAGCCATGTATGACCGTATGGTATCTAAAGGAAAACACAAACAGTGAAACTACTAAGGTGCTTAGCATCCCTCTTTTGTCTCTAGAGTAGTCAATGACTAAAAGCCCTGTTTTTCAGCAGTCAATGACTAACAGCCCTGTTTTTTAGTGTTTACTCAGAAAAACATTTCCATTGGCTTCTGTCTGATCTCAGATTGAATTTTATAGTTAAATATTTCGTGTTTTGGGAATGCAGTCTTAAACAAAGCCAAAAGCACTCAAACTCCAGTATTGTCTTTGAATTGTGTAGGTTGGCATATTTCTAAGGCTGTTTTACCTGCCTCAGCATGAAAGGAAAACAGGGAGGGTGGGTGAGAATGAATAACTGTGAAGCTGAACTTCTTCAGGGGTGGACAATTTATCAGCTCCATACAGTAGGAACAAGGAAATGTATGGAGTGAAATCAAGATAGACTTAAACTTCTGCACAAAACAATAAAGCAGTGGCACACAAGGAATTTCTCAGTGTGACATGCCTTTTTCCAAAGCTGGGTCTGAAAAGAGCTCTGCATGGGGCTCATTAAAATTCTGTAGTCATGGTCCACAAACAGAGCAGGACACACAATGAATAAAGGTCTGTACAAACATGGAGTTTCAGGGAAAATCAGATTGCTTTGTCATAATGTGATGTTCAGTCTTGAAAACCATACTCTCAGTATTATTCCTATTTGCTTCAATGGCACGATGGAGTCCTCAGGACTATCTAAAGAAAAATCAGCTCTGCAGACTCATCAAAAAACCCCAGCAGTCCAAATATACAACATCTATTCACTCCTTCTTCACCCTGTTGCTTCAGTATGGCTGAGAATACGTATTGTTCTCTCCTGCTGTTTTTTCCTTTTTTACTGAAAATAAGAAATGGCATGTGAGGATGATTTTGCACGATATTATTTGAATTTTTGTGTAAAGAAAGAGGGTGGGATTTTTTTTCTCACAACTTGACAGTAAAACACTGAATTTTTCAAAAGCTAACAGATTTTAAGACCTGAGAGGAACAGTTAGCCAGAACTCTTTCATAACATAAATATCTACCGTACAAACCCATAGCCTGCACTTGAGTTGGACCATATTTTCTAGCAGGAAATCTAAGGTGAAATCCTGATCCTGCCTTCTCACAGACACAAAGAAGTAGCGGGAAGTGGAGAAATGAGTTTTGGAATTTTTTTGTTTGGTTTAATTCAGGGTAAAATCTACCCTTAATTATAGTTTATGAACACTAATGTGTACAATAAAATGGTAAATGCTGTACAGCACTGTTTTTTTTTTAAAAAAAATTTCCTTACAACTAACATACAACAGTTGTTCCAGAAAGTCCAATGCTGTCCTCCTTTCTCAGGCAGCACCCCCCTTCATTTATTTCATCTGGATTTTATCTGAATAAAGAACTGCAGGACCTGCTCCCATGGACTGTGGATGAAATAAATTCAACAGGATAACTCATTAAGAAAACAAGTCAAAAGGGATTTTTCTGTTTGTAGTGTGAGAGATGTTGACAGCAGCTAACCTTACCAGCAAGCTTGTTGCTTCTATGTAAACCTGTTCTCTTTCAGATTTTTGGGATGTGTTGCCAAAGAACTTTGGCAGAGTCTATATTTGCCACTGCTGATCCCTTTTAATGAGGTTTGTGGGTCATTTGAAAGCTGCAAAGCAAAGTGAGACTTTGCTTTTTGTGTTTTGCCAATTTCATTATGCTTTGGCTGGTAGCTGAGGGTCATTTCCAAAAGTCTAATGGACATTTTTATTAGGTTTCTACAAGGGTACTACTTACTTTCTTTTCCTGGCAGATTTCCATATTCACTGTGACTAATGCAGCCTCTATTGTTTTTTGACAAGAGGAAAAAAAAGACAATTTTTTTCATTCCCCAAGGAGAGAAGCTGTCAGCTACCAGAAGAATAAAGACTTCAGTGTTTACCTTTCCACACAGCCCTGCACAGAGGCAACAGATTTTCAATGGCTAGAATGAAAGAATATGCAAAATGGCATCAATGGACTGAAAAAGTAAACAATTTGCATATTTCTTCCTGTCAGTCCACTTTTTCTTCAGTGGCATATTGCTATGGAAACAAGTAAAGATCACTTTAAGATGGTTATTACCATTTCAGCCAAAAACGATCACCTTTTGGGCACTCCTTGGAAGGTTGCTATGTCATCTGGATGCACGAAAGTGAATGCCAAAGTGATTCAGAGTGCCTAGAGCACCCGACTATTTATTGCTTTCGGGATTAACCTTATGTATGTATGTAGCCAGAATTGCCAGTAGAACCAAAAGGGCGTTTTGGCTGAGTAAAGAATGAAGGATGGCGCTGCTGGGAGCCAGCCGTCTGCCCAGTGCCTGGCCTCAGGAACTGGCTTGGATGTTAGACAGACATATTTGGGTGGGAAATCTCAGCTCCCTGATCCCAAGATAGCTCTGCCAGGATGATATTTTGTCCCTTCACCAGAACAGGAGAGGGAGGATTTTCATAATACTGGGATCCTTATTTACACTTTGGGTTTTTGCCTTGAAGTCTCCTTTCTCACGAGACGTGCAGAGAGCAGAATTTCTTGCTTTTATCTGTGCATCTCACACCCATCCTCAGACTGCCGCCCACTTTGGCAAGTGCACGTGCAATGATCGTGCTCAGCAGGGTGCTCTTCAGGTGTCTTACCCCTCAGCTGGACTAGCTGGGATATACACTTTGCTTTTTTTGAAATGAAAGATACTTTTGCCGTATGTGTCCATAGAGGACCAGATGCATTATTCGGGAGAGGAAGCAGGGCAGGGAGAGTGTGATGTTCTTTATTTACATTCCAGTGAGAGTAGAATTATTGTAAAGATTTGACCCTAGAAATTGCTGCATATGCATTCAAATGAGAGGGTCAGAAGGCTTTCCTTTCTCATCATTTCGCTGGCACAGTAGCACAAATGAAGCATTTATGGCCCCCCAAGCTCCCATAATGTGGCCCAACCTTTTTCTTCTCACTTGGACTGAATGTCGCTGGAGAGGATCAGTCGGCACATGCTAACGCATGCCGCTGCAGACACGCTGCCTCGGCAGGTTCGGGACCTCCTGCAGGTCAGTGGCTCCTGTTCCTCCTGCCGGGCTCTGCAGCGGCCCCTCCCCACCCCTCAAAGGGCAGCTCAACAGAAAGCAGCACTTTTCATCGGTTATCTTCATATTCAGAGAGGTTTTTCTCAATGAACAAGATTTCTATGTACCAATCCTCCTTCAGACACAGCTCCATCAGCACAAGCTGGGAAATTTGTCTGAGCAGATTCTGAAAGGCTCAGCCAGCCACGCGTGAGCTCTGCTGCCAGAACTGCTGACCTGCATCCCTGCCTGCCAGCGCTGATCCCGTCAGACTAATTACAAGATAGCACTATGTCTTCCTCAGACACTGGAAGAGTAAAGCCGGTGCACATTTAAAGTTTCGAAGGGACTGAACACATAGACATAGCTGGTGATTCTTATACATACAAATATGTATTTAACATTCTTAATATATTCTCATATATGTCTTTGCATTTGCTGAGCTTCAGAAAGATTATACTTTATTACCAAAACTTTGTTATCCCATCTTTTAAAGGCCTTTAGAATAAGTCTTGATTTGTCATAGTTATTCATGTTTTTTCTCAGTGTCAGAGGTTAATACGTGCATTTTAATATGCTCAAATTGGCCACTTTTTAAAGTTATAGATCTTACTGGACTTATCATTTCAGCTCAATGGAATAGATAAAATAGGCCTGTAAATTAATTTCTGTAATTTTTCATACATATTTATCAAACACTAGTGTGTAAATTGTCATGAAACTGATACTGAATTTAAATGAAAGATATTTCATGGATCATTTTCTTAATGTTTAGCTTGTTACAACATCTAATGTGTTACAGAAGCACAGTTAACATTTTTTTAATGGATTGACTTTGTTAAGTTTAGGAACTCTCTGTGTTTACCTCACGGTGTTTCAATACTCCAGGAGTTCCAGTACGCTGTGCAGGCGAGGAACAAAACTCACTCGAGCATCGTGGCCTCCTGTGGGGATTAGAAATGTCTTGGTTTGTCACCTCTTTTTTATTTCTGGCTATCCAGCTCTCTGCAACATATTTATAGTATGAAGCGATGAGACTCCCTCAGGTACTCATTTTCTATGTGTCCATGTTTGTTTCTTACATTTTAATGCCAATATTATTTTAACAACATTTAGTTTTAGCTGTCAGGGTAGTTTGAATTTTATGGCAAAATGTGACATAACTCTGTGCCATCTGGGAGTTTGGAGTCCAGTTGTTTGATCTTCTGATAATTATCTTTGTAAAACGGTGCAATGCATCCAGATATTTTTTTTTTGTTGTTATTCAATTGCATTGATTTTATAGAACTGACAAGTGGTGAAAGAATACATTTCATCAGTTCTGTGCACCAGTCAGATTTCCCTGCAAGCCGTTGTGTTAGTATTCCATACTTTCTATTCAGGAATCATATTTATATTGGCACATTATTAGTGCACTCTCATCACTGCATTAACCTACAGCTGTCATCTCTGTAGTCTGAAAGGATGGACCTGTCGTAGCTGCATGTGATGAGTCAGATAGGGTCCAACCTGCATTTATTTAACTGACTGACTGTGTGAACCGGAGACCCCATGATTCAGTTTTCTCCTCTGCAAAATGAGAATAATGATATTTTCTTACTTCCAAAAGGTGTTGCATAGATAAATACAGTAAAGAACATGAGATAAGAAAGCAATGGGGCCATAGTTAGAAGAGGCTAAGCTGGTGGAACAGGAATAGGTCTGACTGACAGATCCTTTTGGCTCTAAACAAACATGAGGAGGTTTGGATACACTTTATTTAAATAGTACAGTATAGTTTGACTGAAACTGTTTGACAAATAAAATATGAAAGAAAATGTTTTTAAAAAAATTAAATTTGCTTCAACTTTCAAAAAAATAACAACACAGATTTGAGGGTGGTTTGATTCACAAAGACATTCAAGCACTCTCCCTAATACCAGCACAGAATTGTTGTGTCTTCAAAAAATGTATAGGTAATGCCCCTTACCTATAGAAGGCCTATATTAAAAAATCCGTTTTGTCTGCATCAATGAAGGGTTTTAAGCTACCTTCACACCTTCAAGTGTATATCTAAGAGGTATGGGTCAGCACCCAGAACATTCAATGGCTAAACCCTCTAACTTTCTCCCACTGAAACGGAATTATTTCGGTTTGCCAACAAAACTTTAAATGGATCAGTTTGAAACGAATGAGCCCTCCAAAATCAAAAATCAGTTTTCCGCACCATTGTCTGTGGAATTGACTGTTTAAATGAGATACTGTCATATTGCGCTGGGAGTGATTTTCTGCTAATGAGAATGAGAATGAAAAACACACCCAGACCAAAGTCTTTTGCAGTATATGTGCCAGAGAAAGAAAGACATTCTTAGGATCATCACTGTAGATCTGATGGCCTACTAATGACAGGCGTTTAAGTGATTATGTTTTTAACAGGCTTTCAACGTGTCCCGGCCTCTGAACTGTGCTGTGCTCAGTACACTGCAGTTGTGTCTCTCTTTCTTTACTCTTTCTGAATACCTGGAGTTTTACTGTGTTTCAGGTACCATCAGAGTTACAACACTGGACTGCAAACTCACAAGTGCTGTAATGTAGATATAAAATTCCTCCCCTCTGAGTAAGCAAAACAAGATCATTTTCTGGTACAAAAAGCAGAGATGTGTCTACCTTGAGAACCTCCACACCTCTCATCACTGTAATACCTAAGCGTCTCTGGACCATTGGCACAATTTCTGTCAGGTAGGCAGTTGCAAGCCCTATTTCAAAGAAAGAAAATTTAGTTACAGTGTAGGTTAATTGGTTTTACCATGACAAAAAAAATTCATCTAGAATGGGAATGGGATCCAGCTCTCTGTGGTCTCAGCTTTGCTCCTGCCAGCTTAGATAAATTTTTGTGACTTTGGTCTCAATACTCTCTAATAAAGAGATATTTTTCTGATGTGGGTTTTCTCTAGCTAAGGGTGGCAAAATTACATTCACAAGAATTTGGAGCGGAGAATAAATTCATTACCTGGACTTATTTGAGCTTTCTTTCACATATGAATCCCTTCTAACCCAAGCCGTAGGAAATGGTTTTCAATAAATATTTTTAATCAATACAAGTTTAACATTTAAATATTTTTCCCCTATGAGTTTGATTGATTTGCTCACATTTTACTTGATTGTATAATGTTACACTGAAGACTGCATTTTAGATTTCATTAATATTAATAGTTATCAATGACATTACTGAAAAGAGAGGAACTATCATAAGGAATGGATAATTGGTTGAAAAAACTTCATTAGACACCTATGTCAGTAAGCTAAAAATACCAGGTATTTATTTTATACAGGTTCTAGAGGACACTGGTATGGCATAATGGACCATATTTATTCTAATGTATTTTTATCAGCTTTGCCAGGAAAGGACACAAATACATGGTTTCCTTAAAAGCTCAAAAAACAAGACTAAGTGGCAAGTCTCTGCACATAGTAACTGTAAAAAGTATGATGTATGTATATATATTATATGCATATGTGAATGATATATAATGTAAAACTTAAAATAGCCTTAACATGATGCATGCTATACACCTATACATATGCAAATATCTTTTGACTTTTACGATATCTCATGCATGTTAAATTGCTTTCCTCCAAATGCTGGTGCTTTGTAATATGTATAACACAAGGGGAAGTAAACAGCAATCATGATGTTATTACCAAAATGTGAAACTGAGTGTGGTTATTTTCAGTCTTGAATTATTGCCTTTAGGTTTAGACATTAGATCCATATTGTAAATGGATTTTTAATGGCATCAGCAACTTGGTTTTTTAGCTAGTTTGCACAAGGTTTTGCAATCATCTTCCAATAAATATTCATAAAATAAATTGGAGTGTAGTAGTTGGAAGATTTAAAACTTATTTGAAATTACTTACTTGCAAAAACTTATTGAAAAATTATTTGAAATTCAAATTATTTGAAATTTGAAAGTGATACCTGAAGTGGTAAGTCCATTCAGGAAGCACTCCCCAAGTACAGATACTTTTCTATAGAATATAGAACTTACTTCACACAGCTGAGTTGGATAATGAAATATACTGATATTTAGAAGTCAGTTATATCTGGAAATGTATTTGTATTGCAATGATAAAGGCAAACAAAAACAACAGCAGTCTGCATATTTTGTTAGTGAAATACAATACTTTTATTCAAGGTAAAAGTAATGAATAATTTACCTTGCTTTAGATTTTTGTATGTAGTGGTCTGTAGCAATAAGATTATTTCTGCCTCTAGAGAATTTTGAATAACTGAACTCTCAAATATTTTGGTCAGATCCATAACTGGATTTAAACACTTTGAGAGCAACTTAAGCAACATTTAAGCACCTAGATTCAAGCAAATAAGTCCAGTCACAGCTCCTCCCTTCTCAGACCACTTAGGTACTTGGAAGCAAGTAATATTTGATGGTTAAAACACACATAGATGCTCAAGACTGTGGTGCTGCCTATGCTTAGATGACCTTGGATAAGGCAAACCTTTCAGTTTCTATTTGCAGGTGAATTTATCTGGGTATTCAAACTGGGTCTCCCCATACCTATGCAGACTCAGTGCAGCAGTGTGCTCAAGTTGCGCCAAGGGAAGTTTAGACTGGACATTAGGAAAAACTTCTTTACTGAAAGAGTGGTCAGGCCTTGGAACAGGCTGCCCAGGGAAGTGGTGGAGTCACCATCCCTGGAAGCATTTAAAAGATGTGTAGATGAGGGGCTTAGAGACATGGTTTAGTGGGCATGGTAGTGTTGGGTTGACGGTTGGACTCGATGATCTTAGAGGTCTTTTCCAACCTTAATGATTCTATGATTCTATGATTCTATGACATTAAACTGACAGTAGTTTCAATTAGTAGCCACTTCAAAAATTTGATGCTATTACTTAGCCAAGTTTAAGGTGCAAGCTTTTGCAAATCCAGACATAAGGCCCAATCTACTGAAACTGTAACACATGGCTATCCTATCTCTTTTAAACT